CTTTCGAGCATCGTGGCTTTTCTATGGCCCAGGGCGGCAGGCAGGGCCCCTTGTGCTAGGGACGAGGGGTTAGCGGCCGGCCTGCTCTCTGCTAGTGACTGAGTAGCTGGCCAAGGCTTGGTGCCTCTGCCGCTCTACATGCTCGGAGATAATTAACTTCAATTCAGAAGGCATTAATCAGCCTCTGATCAGGTGACGGCAGCACCGGAGCTCAGCTCTGAAGCTCTCCCTCATACCTGTCACCACGGAGAGATGGCTGTTAATGGCCCTGTAATTGCTGCGCCAATCTCCCGGTCTCATAGGCCAGGAATAATAATTAGATCAGGGGAAGGAAAGGACTTGGGGGCAGCGAGGGAGCCAGGCCTGGCAGAGGCGGTGGGGAGCTGGGCTGCCCCTGTGCCCAGCTGATCCAGAGCTCCTCACCCACCAGAGCTCCACCCTGCCCACAACGAGCCCCGAGGTGCCGAGCGCCCTCCTCGCCCACTGCAGCCAACTGCAGCCGAGGGCACTCAGCACGTCGCAGGATCAGGCCCAGCACCGGGGCGCGCCCCCGGGGGAGCGATCAGGAGAGGAACTTGGGGGCTGATGGGACAGCGCTGCAGTGCTTTGGCAGGTGCGGAGAGCGAGGGGGAGCGTGAAACCTAAACGGGGGCTAGATCCTATGGTGATGGGCACATTAAAAACACATGCGATGACATTGATTAGCTAGACAATGACCAGGCACTAATTCTGCTGCAGCCACTGCGTCACCATGCAGGGCAGCTTCGTTAGTGACCCCTTTGAGACAAGACCCTTGGTCTCCCCAGGCTCTTCATTCCAGCGCAGCTATGGCCTCCCCACACCCCCGAGCCCTGCTCCCCACCCCACCCCAAGGAAGTCAGCCCCCATCACTGGTGCTCCTCCTCCCACCTCAGAGGTAGGGCAGTGGGCAGGCTCCTCCGCCAATCCCAGCGGGCACCAGGCAGTTCTGGGGTGGAGCCCCAGCATCTGCCCCCCCAGAAACACTGTGCTTGGTTCTGGACACCTGCTTTCCCCTGGAAAGCTCCTGGCATCCAGAGAGGACAAGGAGAAGGACCCCGAGGCTGGAGGGCTGGCTGAAGAGTGAGCTCCGTCCCTGGCTGCTGCGTGACGGCCGAGCGGGCCATGGGATCAGCGTCTGCACCGAGATGCATCACCAGCCCAACCCAACGGGCGGGGGGGGGTGCCCAGGAATCATGGGATGAAGCTGGGAGCGAAACTAGGGGCTGATTGTCAGCAAAATCCACCTGGCAAATCTCCCGGCCCGTGGGGGCAGCCAGCTCTCCCATCACAGTTCAAACCCCAGCCCCAGCGAACGGGCAGTAGGGAGCAAACCTGCCCAGGCAGGTCCAACAGGGCTCAGACATGCTGCTGGGCTAACGCCTTTGGATCAATGGTTTATTCAACCAGAAATGCCATTTTGAATCGACCAAAATGATCTGCGAAGTCGACATAAAATGGCTGAATAGTTTCAGCCAAAGCCCCTGGTTTTTTCAGGCTAGATTGACAAGAGGAGTCAATCAAACCAGGGGCGCGGAGGAGGCGGCTTGTTCCTCTGACAATGCCCCGTTTGTGTTTGTTTTGGGTTGAGCTGAAGCAATTTTTCCCCAGTGTTTTGGTTTGGCCAGTGAACCAGATATCTATTATTCACGCAGCTCTGCGTAGATGCAGATCCCCTAATCCTGGGGGTCTTTGCCATAGCCCTGATTTGGATCTCACCAGCCCTGGCTTCACGCTGGGTTCCTCCTCTGATCCCAGCGGAGTTACTCCAGATTTACACCTGGGTCAGATCAGGATCAGGCCCCAGGACTCTACTCGAAATCTAAAATCCCATCTCCTTTGCAATGCTCCTGAATTCCCCACAGACTCTCCCCACGCTGCAGAGACCGTGCTGCTGTCCGGCCACAGGACTAACTGGCTGGCTGGCTGGCTAGGAACACCGGGATAGCTAGAGCCAGGCAGAGTGCTCTGCCCACGCATCCCTCTGCCTGACAGTCCTCAGCGTCGCGGTGTGGACTACAGACACCCGCTGGCGGGGCAGCACGTGGGCCGTAGCCTATGGCGCGGACAGGAGCAGAGAGACTGGGTCATGTTCTCACAGACGTAGAGCCGGACGCCACGGTCCTTACTCAGGCAGGACTGCGAACAGAACAATCCAGCTCTCCTAATTCCCAGACCGCTGCTGTAGCCACTAGACTCGTCCGTTCTGCAAGCTCCAGCCAAGCCAAGATGGGACAGGGCACTATTCAGGGTGATCGGGTCTCCAGTGAAGGGGTGCAGGACAAGAGACGTGTTTTATACA